AATCGTCGTCCTTCCGAGCAAATAATACAAATTGCTCCTTCCGAGCAAATAATACAACGTGCATCCTCCAAGGTCACTTTATAGCCAGATGCCACCAAAGCTCCTAGTGAAATGATGTTCTTCGACAACTGCGGAATGAACCTCACTCCTTCCAACTCCTGAATCACTCTGTCATACATCCGAATACGAACGGTACCAATACCACCAATAGAGCATGCATGTTCATTACCCATGAGCACAACATCCTCTCTTTCCAACTTCTGAAAGCTGGAGAACCAACCCCTCCTAGGGCATACGTGGTATGAAGCACCCGAATCCAACATCCACTCTGTAGAGTTGGCAATACAAACTGACGGTAGTGCAGACAACGAATAGCCCGAAGAATCCGAATCTGAATCGTTGCCACTAGTCTTGACAACATTCACCTCTGAAGCTTGTACAGCTTTCCCCTTATTCTTCTCGGCTCGATCTAACTTTGGGCATTCAGCTTTCCAATGTCCATCCTCTTTACAAAAGGCACACTGATTCCTACGAATCCCACGATGTGCACCTCTAGACTGCGACCTCCTGCATCGGTTTGAACCACGGCCATGAACTACTAATGCATCTCCCGATGCCTTCTCGGAGGACTCATCAACACTCTTCCTCAACTCATAATTCACCAACGCTGAGGTCACCTCCTTGTAACTAACAATAGTTCTTCCATTAATCATAGTTAGGACAAATGTACCATAATCATCATCGGGCAACGAACACAAAAGTAGCATCGCCTTGTCTTCATCCTCAACCATGATATTCACATTAGCCATGTCTGAAAGTAGCTTTGTGAAGTTGTTAACATGCTCCCTAATGGAAACTCCCCTCTTCATCTTGAACTGATAAAACCTCTTCTTCAAGTGAAGTCGATTCTCAATGCTCTTAGTAAGATACTTTTCATTGAGTGTTTCCCACATCTTTTTCACCGAAGTCTCGTTCATCACATCATAAATAAGATCTGGCATCAAGCATGACCGAATAACTCCACACGCCCTACTATTCATCTTCTTCTAAACCTTAGCTTCCATCTCGGCAGGTTTCTCTTGTAACTCAAGAGTCTCCTCTAAATTCTGAGTGTCCAACGCATCCATCACCTGGCACATCCACAAACCGAAATTGATCTTACCATCAAACTTTGGAACATCAATCTTCATGTTATTGATGCTCAAACTATGTATCGTCTTCGTAAGAGACGATCCCGATGTGCTTGCTTCACCCATGTTGTCGATCTAACAAGCCTCAAGTTGAACCCGAAGCTCTGATACCAATTGTTGTGCGCGACGCGGAAGCGGTCGAATCACACAATCCAAACAAGAGAGATCACAACCAAATAAACAAGCACAATCACCGATTAACACAAGAGATTTACGTGGTTCGGCAAGTTACCTACGTCCACGGGACAAGAAGGGGATGGAGTTTTCACTAATAGAGAAAGAGTACAAATTGAGATTACAAATCACTCGAAGGAACAAACTAATCTCATCAACAAGCTCTTAATCTCTCCAAACAAAACCCTAAACAAATAGCTCAGAAAATACATCTTTTCTGTGCTCCAAATATCCCCAATTTTTCTTCTCATCCATTCTCTCTTCTAATTGTTCCATATATATAGAAATCCTAAAATCATAAGCATACTAGGAATTCTAAACCAAAACCAAATCAAATTAGGAATCCTAATAACCTATTACCAAAATAGATTAGGAATCCTAATAACCTCATGTTACCAAAATAGACTAGGAATTCTAATAACCTCATGTTACCAAAATAGATTAGGAATTCTCTATCCAACACACAGAACATCTAAATCTATAAACATCAGATACGTACATGAATGCGCCAATTCCAAACATTTCAGTTACAAATAAGATTATTGATTCCTAAACCTGATAACGTGATATAGACACGTTTACATTTAACAATCGTTATTTATATTTGGAATTGGTTTGCGAATCGTTTTGTACCAATCAATTACATTAATTCTCAGAATCCAACAATCATTACCATAATTTGTTCTACAGAAAGAAAAATTTAACAAAATTCTGCATAAACAGTGGACAAAATCAAGAAGTAAAAGCATGTAACTGGTGTTCATCAGGTAACCTAAAAGC